TAAAAAAAAAAAAAAAAAAAGTTCCAAAAAAAAAAAAAAAAACACCACACCAAAAAACGCCTAGGTGACCAGACTGAGTGGTTCTTGGGAGAGGGAGGCATAAGAAGGCCAGAAGACCACCCCCAAGCCAGCCAGTCCCCTACTGCTCCCCAGTGTGATCTAAACTCCTCCCAGTCGGAAACACTGGGGCAGCATCACGGGTGGGGCAGGGGCCTATCCTGCCCTTGGGGTCTCTCAGTCTTTGGGGGCTCCCACAGCAGCCCTCGACTAAGCTGTGATACAGCAGCCCAGTGAGGCCACAAGAGCATTCTCTGCTGGGCGTCTGCTTGGTCCGTAGCCGATGCCTGCCTCCTCGCCCTCCCGACCCGACGTGGGTGAGCCTTGCTATGAGCCTGTCTCGGAGAGGGCATGGAGGGTGGAGGGGTTGGCGCGGGGCTGTTGGCGTGGGGCTGAGTCGGACTCCCCATTGGTCTGGCTCTGTCCAGGCACCAAGCCCCAGGTTCTGCTGCCCATCCCAGAGCGGCAAGGCCTGAGCCTTCCTGAAGGATGGGTTTCTCGGTGGGAGACCGAGAAAGTGTGGTGGTCTGTAGTTCCAGGAGGACATGTGGCCTCCATCCAGGCATCGAGTGCTGCCAGGTTTACTCCTGGACATCTGGGTCTCGACTACCCACTCAGAGAAGACACTCCCGGGGCCTGGCCCAGGCGCCCTGTCCCTTCTCTCCGTCCACCACTGCTTCCCAGGGCCTGGCCCTCCTCCACGCACACCCACAGCCGGGCCTTCTCTGCTGCAGCTGGAGTGAAACCTTTCCGGCACTCCCCACCCAACATCCTGTCCTTGACCCAGGGTGATACCTACGGAGTGGGGAGGAGACGGGATGTAGAGGAGAGAGCAGGAGAGGTTCCTGTGATGGTGGAGCTCTGAGGGCCAAGGGCGTCCAATCCCACACTCGGGAGCTAGCCTCACCCCTCCGACAGGTGAAGAAACAGGCCAGGCCGTGGTTTTCGGCAAGCAGCGGGGGGAGCACAACACTCACGCTGGGGTCCTCACTGGCCTGGGAAAGTGACCCCAGCCTCGGCCTCCACCCTGGCTGGCATCTGGAGACCATGCTCAAGTCTTCCCTGGGCAAGGCGGAGGCCGCAGAGTGTGCCCCAAGTCCTGAGTGGAGTGGGGCTGGCCAGCCAGCCAGCCAAGGGGGTGGCCCGAAGAGAAGCCCAGAGGTGCAGCCAAACAGCCAGCCAGTAGGGATGCTGAGTGTCCCCACAGCTGGGAGCCTCCCCGGGGCACTGTCCTAGACTTTGGTGACCCCTGCTGCTCTAGGAGTTTCCCCCTGATGTCCGGCCTCCCTAGGGGAGCCTAGTGCAGGTGACTCTGCCTTCCAGGCCCTCAGAGGTGCCCCGTCCCTTTCCTGCCCCTGAGGAGCTGAGAGGAGCCTGTGCCCAGCTCTGTGGGCATGCCCGGACTCCCCCAGCAGCCCTCTCCACACCTCCAGGTTCCATCGAGGGTCACTTCCTAGTTCAGCTGCTCTGTGGGAAGCCCACTGGTGTTCTAAAGGTCCCTTCTTCCATCTTTCAACAACACAAACTGCCGATAAAATCCAGAATCAACTAAACGCCACCTCCCCGGAACCTGAGGCCCGTGGCCTGGCTCAGCAGCAGCCATCTCCTGTCCTCGTGGCCTGGCCTTGCTCTTTCCACTCCCTGCAGATGACGCCCACCGAGTCCTGTTGTCCACTCACCAGGCGTGCGGCAGTCCCACTCCGCAGCGGCACCTCGCCTTGCAGCCACCTGCTCCCACGTCCTGCCTTCGAGCACACTGGCTTCCTCTGGCTTTCTTCCACCTCCCCAGCAGTGCTCTGTGCACCCCAGAGTCGCCCAGGGTCTGTGCTGGGCGATGCCCACCTGAGTGCCTGGAGGTGGTCTTGTTGCCCAGGTCTGTGTCCCGAGAGCTCCAGGTCTTTGTGACATGCCTCAGGACATCCCCCAGCATTCCACTGCAGATGCCCCCAGGTGCTGCTCCACCCAGTGGGCCCTGATCCCTGACCCACTCCCCGTCACCAAGCCTTCCTCTCCCGCCTAGGAATGTGGGACCGCCTGTTTCTCCACCATCCCTAGCGTGGATGGCTGCAACAGCGCCTCGTGGTGCCCCTGCTGTTGCCCTTCCACTGTCCACACGGAGGCCAGACGGAGGCCAGACGGGGCTGCCGAGCCCTGCCTCTGTCCTCTCAAGTGCTGTGGAGGCTCCTCAGACGAGGTCCGGCCCACGTACTGACCCGCCCACCTGCCCCTCTGTCTCTTGCTTCCTGGCCTTCACACATGCTGTTCCCACTCCATGGAATGCGTTCCCCTCCCGCATTCCCCTGCCCCAACGTTCGCCTTACTCCACCCTGCCCAGTCTCCCAGACTCTGCCTGTTGTCATTTGTCAGCTACATTGTCCTTGCAGCAGCCACGCGTGACCCCTGAGCCCATGAAACTGCCAGTTCCTACTGAGGTGTGTAAAACACACCTGATTCAACGCACAAAAATAGCTCTTTCATCATTTTTATATTGAAACCATTTGTAAATTAGTTAAATACTACTATGAAAAGTTCACCTGTTTCTCTTCTTGAAATTCTGTGGTTATTAGCCGATTGCACCCACATGCATGGCCTACGCTACATTTTGGCTGTCTGGGGGCAGTCCTGCCCCGGGGCCTCGGTGTGGGGGAGATGAGGTTGCAGGCACCAGGGAAGAGGGCCGGGCCTGTCCAACACAGGCCCAGAGGTACGTGCTGAACAGCCAGCCTGGAGAAGGGGCGCAGGAAATGAAGCTGCCGTGACGCCACTTTTCCACCTTTTATTATTCAACAGAGGGATGGAGATGCAAGGATGGACAGCAGCGGCTTTCAATAAATAGAAACGGGACGGGGGTGGGCCCGCGCCTGCACGGCCCCACATAAATAACCAGGCTGCTCAGCCAGAGTGGAGAAGCGGCTGGGCCCGGCAGTGCCTGCGCTGCCCAGGGCACGGGACTGGCTGACCTCAGGGTCACCCCTGAGGCCAGAGGCTCTCTCCAGCCCCAATATTCCTCTCCCTGTGATCTTGGGGGTGGCAGGGCGGGGGGGCTCTGCACACAGCCCTGCCTGGGTCAAGTCTCTCTTGCAAGGTCATTAAAAATGGCAGGGTCGGGCCAGGCACATGCATTATGCCCCTTCTGCGGCACGGCCATGATGGACAGCCCCATGGGGGCTGAAGGCAGAGGCCCTGGAAACAGCACAGAGGGCCAGGTAAAGCTATTGGAGTGGGGGCGGGTATGGAGTCAAGCACCTCGGCCAGCCCAGACCCTGCAAGGAGCTGGAGAAGCCCCGGGCTCTGAGACGATGCTCTTCCCACTTCACAGAAGAACTGGGACCACCAAGACGGGGGCATGCCCCAGATCAGAACCCAGGAACTCAGCCTCCCAGCCCAGGGCTCTTGGTTGCACCTTCCCTTTTGGGACCTGCCAGAAGAAGGGGAGGCACATCTGCTCTGGTCCCACACAGGCTGGGGTTGACCGGTTATGAAGGCCTGGGGCCAGGCACTGGCACAGGCCCCTCCCCTGCAGCTCCTGCTGTGCTGGCTACTAGGGTGGGTAGCCCAGGGTGGAGGCGTCCTGCAGGGGGAGCGGGGGCAGTAGGGATGGATGGGGCTCCATCTGCTCCTGCACTGGGTGCCCGCGGCCTGCCTGCCTCCTCGCTGGGCGGAGTGTCCACCTGCAGGCCTTTACTGTCTGTCTACGGGGCCGTTGCTTCTGGGTGCTCACAGTCCTTGGCTGCAGCTCTCCTCCTCCAGGAAGCCTTCGGAACCTCCCCGGCAGGGCTTTGGGTCCTCCAACCAGTCAGCCCCTCAGATGACCAGATTGCTCTCACTCAGCCGGACCACGTAGCGGCTCTCCTGGGGCACAGCAGTGAAGGGGCAGAGCTGTTGGGGCTTCTGGACTCCAGGGAAGTGGCCCCTGTGCAGGGCTCTCTGTACCCCCCCCCCACCTGCTCATCAGGGTCTCGGCTGACCCAGGCAGACTGCCCCAGCTCTCACCTCGGCCTTGCTCTCTGCTGGAGGCTTCAGCCACTTGGTATGGCTCCCACCACGTCCTAGCAGTGCCCGTTGCTCGGGGGGAAGGCCCAGCTGGGGGGATTCGGGGAGAGCGTCCCCCGAGGGTGCGGCCTCTGCAATGGTCTTCACCTCAGGCGCCACCGAACTGGCCCTCTGCTCGGGAATTCGAGCCACACGAAACCTGTCAAAAGAGGTAATGTGACCACCCCTAGACCCCGGGCAGAGGGGACACCCCAGGATCAGAGACAGCAGCACCTGTCCAGGGCTGCACAGCAAGTTCAAAGCCTGGCCTTGCTGACACCCAAGCCTGAGCCTCTCCCAGCACCCTTCCAGCCCAGACCAGGGCTCCCTCTCTGAACCAGACTACGGGTAAGCAGGCATTTGGCCTGACAGGCCCCAGTTACAGAGGGGGGGCAAGGCCTTGCCCTGGGGACCTGTGTGTCTGGAAGTCCTGACTTCTCTGGCCACCCACTGCCCAGAGCGGCCCAGGAAGGATGCTCAGGGCTCCAGGTTGTCAGGTCTGTCCCTGAGCCTGCTGGGTCTGTGCCCACCTCACCTGCCCACGGACAGGATGGTGATCTCGCCCTGGCGTCCTGCCTTGGTCCCGGCCTTGGGAGCCCTGGCCAGGTTGGGCAGGAGGCTAGGAGTGGGGGCAGTGGCAGCTGCAGCCTCAGGGGACAGTAGCACCTCAGGCCACTTCTTCTGGCTACAGCGGGAGCAGCAGGGCCCAGAGAGTGAGGCCAGGCCCTGCACGGTGTGGAGGTGGTGGCGATGCGGACAGAGGTGAGGCATGCTGGTGGGGGCCGGCAGCAGCCTGCAGAAGAGCACAGGGGGAGCGGTTACCAGGGCAGGCCGAGCCCAGGAGACCCCAGCAGGAGTGGAGGGGATCAGGGTGACGTGAGGGAATGAATGTCCCCAGTGGTGAGGTCTGGAAGGCAGGGTTAGCTAGAGGGTTAGCCCCCTCCGTGCCCACCTGCCCACTCACTTGGGCATAGGCCTGTGGCTCGTCTGCACCAGCTGTTTGCTGTGGTATTCTTTCAGGAGCTCCTCCAGGGCAGCCGCGTTCTCTGTGGGCAGCTGCAGTCAGAGCCCAGCTCTGGGCCACAGGGGCCCCCCACCCCTGCCCCAGAACAGCACCCTTCCCCAGCCAGGCTGTGCCTCCTCCGTCTCCCACCCGGAAGAACAAGAGGCAAGGGGCAGCTCAACCAGTTGAAGCAGCGCAGGGCGGGCCTCGGGCCCTCCTCTTCCGAGCACTGGGATGGGGGTCAGACCTCCCCTCACCTTTCTTCTCTGTGATCAGCCGCACCAGGACACCGATGGTGTCCTCATTGGCCTCCTCTGCCCGGTAAGCTGGGTTGATCCCTGGGAAGGAAAAGACCATGAACCTAGGGAAGAAAGGGCACTGGGCTTCCCGAACTACACCCAGACCTGCCGGCAGAGGGCGCACCAAGCCTCCTCAATCACAGCACAGCCCCCTGCCTGAGGGTTTAGATGCACCCCCACCAGCCTTGCACGGGGGACTCCAGGCCTCAGAGAAGCCGTCATCACTTTCACTATGCAGCAGCCTGGTGCTTAGAGGCTGCAGGATCACTTGAACTCTAGCCCCCGCACGGTGTGTGTGTCTAGGTGTGTCTGAGTGTGTGTGTGTGGGGGGGTGGGGGGGTCAGCTCTCTGCGCCTGCCCTGTCCCCTCCGCAGCCTCAGGCAGCTGCGTGCTGCCCCCTGCCCAGAACACCTGACATCTATAGCAGACTGGCCTTTCAGACCAATGACCTCCCTGCACACAACTGTCTGCCTGTTTAACTGAGGGCCCTCCATTAGCTTTGGGCCCAAACAAGGGCATAAGCTGGTCATCAATCCTGGGCCCAGCAGCAAACGCACCCAGACAGCAGCCAGCAGTTAAAGGAAGTCACTGGGCTAGGAAAAGAGAGTCCCGAGTCACCACCTTCCCTCCTGTCTGCTGAAGATCCTGTCTCCTACCTGCCCCTTCCAGGCCTCAGGGCCAGGCAATGCAGGGGGCTCTGGCCAACCCCAGGCAGCCTGGGGAGCTGGCACTTCACTCCTGACTTGGCCACAGGACGGTATTATGTGCACCTAGGGCCCCAATGCCCTTGGGACACAGGGGTAGGTGGGGAAGAAAAAGGGGCCCAGGTCCTCGGGATAGGGGTGGGAAAACTGCGGGGCTCTTCCCTCTGCCCCAGGACATGTAACTCAAACCAGAGCCTGACCTGAAACCGGAACCCCTCAGGTGCCGCCTGGAGAGGCTGCCCTGCCAGCTTTCCTGAGGCAAGGACAGTCCTCCCACCCCGCCCAGAGGTCAGAGGTCATTTCAAGTACTTCAAAGGGTCCTCCCACCCCGCCCAGAGGTCAGAGGTCACCTCAAGTACTTCAAATACCTCTGACCCTGGAACCGCACCGCAGCCCCCAGGAGGCCAGATCCCCATCACTGGGCAAAGCCTCAACCAGAGGGAAAACCTCTGAGGCTGCAGCCCCTGACCCTTCCCCACCGGGTCGGCCTGCAGCTGTCCTTCTGGGGGCCCCTTTCAGCAGCACCTCTTGGCAGCCCTCCAGATTAGCCCTCTATAGACCTTCCCCGTCAGGCCCTCCAGCCAGACAGGTGCCCTCGGCCACCCCAGGCCGAGCTGCAGCGGCTAGCTGGTGCCCTCTGCCTCCCCACCGCTGGGGCCAGGCCTCACCGCTGCCGCCTCCGGGGCCAGGCCCGCCCTCCTTGTGCGTCG